TTTATGCATTTGTAACTGCAGGTTAAAGTATTAATTGTCCCTCAGAGCTGCATTAAACAGTGTGTAAATACATCTAAATACCACTTCTAATGCAGCTTCTGTGTTTCCTCTGCATTGCAAAGATCAATTTTGTTGATACTGATTTCATTTGCTTGGTAACAGCCCAAATGCAAGAATTTGACTCAAAAGATGGTGCACACTTTTAGAAAAAATGTCTTAAAGGTAAAAATGCCCATAAAACTCGTTGGAAATGATTAATTTCTATCACTGCTGTGAACTGACCACACAGAATATGAAGAATATAAAAAAAATCAGGAGACAGCTGTCAGCACAATTAGAGATAAGATATCAGCACGATAACACACTCTATAGCAAAATATTGTCTAATTATAATTATTGTCTAACAAAATATTCTGGGGGCAATGACATTTTTTTTGAAAATGATGGTGTTGGCTGGCAACTTAAAAAAAATATGGTGGCAGGGAAAGAGTTAACTATATTTTAATCAGTTTTACCAAGACATCCCTATGCATTTCAGAATCCATGAAGAGAAAATAGGCTTTTGAAGAAAATAACAGCACACTTATTAGTAATTGCATTCCATTTAAAAGGAATGCAAATGAACTTGACATTGCTATAATGTCTAACTCCTGCAACAATGCACTAAAACACAGGCAGCTAAAGCACAAATAATTTACGGTAATACTTTACAATAAGCTCCATTTGTTAACATTAGTTAATGCATAAGCTAACATGAACTAACAATGAGCAACAATGAAATTCTGCTGACTTTTTGATGTATTCCAGACATCACTGCACACTTTCAAAGCCATAGTTTCACTAGAATTATCCAGCCTGTACGGCATGCCGTTCCAACGCTAACCAAACGATAAGTCAAACGATCATCACAATCACTTTTAAGTACTCTGGTACTCATGCCCACCCCTGATTCATTGAAGACTGAATATTAAATATTGTCAACATTTCAGCATTCTAGCACCATAGATCATAACTGTATAGCTAACCACAGCAAAAGCACAAGCCTGAGTGAATAAACACTAACGAATGAATGATTGTACTGTAAAATGACACAATAACTAATTCTATTGCTTTCTTTCAGGGAACAAATCTCAACGGGAGGAGCTGGACTCCATCCTGTTTATTTTTGAAGTAAGCCTTATTCATCAGTGTTTAGTGTGGTTTGTTGCTGATGAGCTGTTAAACAGCTGAACTGTAGGTATTTGGTTTTTGTGCAGAGCAGGTTTTTCCACTCTCTCTCCTGTTTTTTTTTTTCTGGAGGTGCCGTCCTCCCCGTGTCTTTTCCTGCCTGGCTGAAAAGTAGACTCTAGTTTGCAATACAAATAGGCAGGCAGAGCATTCTCTGGTTTCATTTGCTCAGGGTGGTGACAGGCTTTCTTTTTTTCTTTTTTTTAGGAAAAATGGTAGTCTTGGTGTGAGAAGAGAGTTTGTGTTGCATAAACAGACGTTGACGTGAAAGGTCACCCTGGGGAAATGCCTTTTATATGCTTAATCAGAAATCATTTGAGTTCATTCATTATATTATAAGTGGAAAAAGCTGAAGCTACAACACAATAAATATGCTTAATTTGTAAGTTATTAATTTTGGTTAGGATCTTTTGTATTTAATATTGGCAGTTATATATGCATTCATATTGCTCAAATGATCAATTGTTAGTCAAGAAATACTGTTGGATGATACATTGACACATCTCTGGTGTTACATTTTTTTTTCATGGTCCACTGGTGTCCTCAGATACCTGCTGAATTAATTGACAAGTTAATCTAGTCACTATTATTTGTATAATGATAGATATTCTATAATTACAGTTAATATTCCTTATTGTCTATTCAGTTGTTTCTAAACACTGTCAGTTTCGGAGGACCAGTGTTGTTTACACATTATTTGTTTCCTCCAAACATCAAGTGCTGTCCTCATGTTAACAAAAATAAGGCTGTCCTTTTTGTGCACTTAAAATCACACTGCCCTTCAGTTTTTATGTGTACATGTATATGTGCAGCCTTTCAAAGTATATTTTATCTTGGCAAACACAGTCGGTCGATGCATACTCACTACACAGTTTTGTCTCTGTCCAGTGTCTGTGCTATTTCTCCCCAGTAGTTATGACTGATTAAGATTATTTAAACTCTTTTAAACTACAGTTTCTCCTAACCTTCTCATTTTGGTGTGTCGTTGTTTACACCTGCACATGAAAGATGAGGGATATTGTGGTTGTCTCAAAGGGTTTTTAGGTGTTGGAGGATCTTCCAGTCTAATAATCAGACCCATATTCAAAAACTTCTTAAGGCTAAAAGTAGCTCCTAACTTGCTGATTTAGAAGAAACTTAAAAAAAACAATCCTGACAAGTTCATCCACTTCGTCTCGCAGCATAAAGCACTGTATAGGTCCTTGCATGCTGAGTTCACGGAAATTGGTGGTCCTTTTTTTATATGTGGCTTCAGTATCGCTAGCAAAGCATCAGCGTGTACTGACATCCTGAAGTGAACTTTGAATCTCCCGGGATAATCCCGCAGCTCCTTAATAAATAGGTGGAACTCTCCTTCCTGTCTACTCTGTCTCATGATTGGATGGACCTAATATTTCCTCTTTTTTTCCTCATCTACTTAAAGCTGCAGTCCGTAACTTTTTTTGGTAAAAAAATGATCCAAAATCAATATTTGAGCAAGTACATAACCAGCCAGTGTTCAAAACTATGACCTTACTTTAGCCCGATTCACAACGGTTAGCTTAGGATTACACAAGATTTGTATTTTAAAGACAACTAGTTCGAAAGGGAGCATAGTTTGCTTTTTGGGTTAAATTAATTTCTCAAAGGTCCCATATTGTACACCTTTCTGGAGTTTTATTTTAGGTTTTGATGTCCTTAAGAATATATATTTGCGGTATAAGTACCAAAAACCATCTCAATATATTTTTACAGCTCCTCTCTCAGGAGCTCTGCTGAGAAAAAGTATAACAATAATAATAATTTGAACGGTTTGATGTGATATGCGGTAATTGATCGTTAGATTAAATCACCATTGGTAGCACGATTTATTGTAATGCTTTTTTCCTCAGTTGGTCAGAACAAACGTGGCAGTAGGCCTGTCGCAATAATCAAAATATATAGACTTATCGCACAATATATGTACATGACCGCAATAATTTTTGGTGACCGCACAACAAAAAGTTGTTATCGTGACAGGCCTACGTGGCAGACTTGTTACTTACTTGTTCAGATGACAATATCCGGTGAAAATTCTTATTTGGGTCATATATTCCAAGACGTAGGCTAGAATCTGTGATTACTAAGTATAGGATTCACATCGGTGTGGTGACTGACTGCCACACATACTCCTCAAAACATTAGATTCATCCGTGCTGGAGCCGTGCCAGAGTACAACCCGCGCAAGCTAGATAATTACGCAAGTAACTGCAATTTCAGGTTTTCAAACAGAGATGGCGACAAAGAGGCAACACTTACAGACTGCAGCTTTAAGCTGTGTTTTCCTCTCTGTGGATATAGACAATTTATTTTGTAGTTTACTCTTTACTCTTACAAAAAAAATCACCTAACAAACAGGGCCCGTATTCGCCAGCAATCTGCCTCAGAATATAAACATTTTAGAAACATTTGACGATAATGAGCTTTTAAAAAGGTATCAGCTTTGGCTTGGAGGTTATCCCAACTCCAAATTTTTGATTATATCCTTAAATAGCTGTTCTCGCGTCCAGTTTGGTTTTCTTTAGGGATGCACCGATACCACTTTTTCCAGTACTCGCCCGATACCGATACTTTTATTTTTGGTACTTGCCGATACCGATGCCGATACCTATATTTTTATTACATTTGTAAATTTTTTAAATATTGGGTACAGAAACCAAAAGGGTATGTATAATGTTAGTTGGTTAACTTCATTTATCAAATAGATACAGTCAAACCAAAATCTATTTAGACACCTTCATCTTTTCTCACATTATCACAGTTTATTCGCTATAGTTTAGAAAATGGTAATAAAACATGACAAGAACTCAGAGTTAAACTGTCAGAACAAATTCATCTTGATAATGCTAGATAATTCTGATAGAAAGGTATGTAATAGATTACAATCAACCAAAAATTAGACAGCT